TTAATAATCCACTGTAATTCTGATATTTAGTAATATTATGAGATGGAAGTTGTTATATTCATTTAAGTTTCTATACAAAATGAAAATGTTTTGGAGTCAATATATTTTCCTTTTTTTTTGTTGTTATTTTTGGATATAAAACATATTTGTCAAACTTTAATGAACGTAGAACAAGTATTGCATTGCTTTATATTTTTTGAAACGACTCATAATAATTTTAAAGAGTAAAACATTGTTTTAGTTCAATACTTTTACTTCTATTTAAGTCAAGTCATAAGGCATTTTTAGCGCAATTTCGCATTTTAAGGGCATTTTTTTTGCACTTTTAAGAGCATTTTTTGCAGTTTGTAAGGGCATTTTTTGCACTTTTTAAGGGCATTAATTGAGTTTTTTTATGTCATCAAAATCCGGGCTCTAGTTATTACTTAGCTCGATCAATCAGTACGTTTGAAGAATTTTAATTCAAATTATTTAAAATTTTTAATGTGCATGGTTTAAAAATAATGCCAAAGGATAAAGAAAAAAAGAAGTACGTATAAAAGTACAAGAAAGATTGGGAACACGAAAAGCAGTTTAAAGGTTAAAGGGTTTTGTATCTATTTCTTCTATGTTAAAAATGTTTAACAGCGAAAACATATACAAATCAGAAAGTATTGACGAAAATATGTTGGATATTTTATCAAAACTTAAAGCATAATGTTAGAATTAAAATATTAAAAAAGACTATATCGTTGATAATAAACTATTTATGAAAAAAATATTTTAAATATTTTAGAAGAAATTAAAGATAATGTATCGATTGAAATGTAAAAAAAGATTAATTTGTTGATAATAAAATATTAAAAAGTATTAAAGCAACGTTTTCTATACATTATTTAACTTTGGTACTATTTTTTAATGCTTATACATTAAGTTAAAAATTTTGGGGTTTTTTAAAAATTTTTAGGGGATTTTACAACGCCATCTGGTGGTGAACGGTTATCAGCACCTGGCAACACTGGTAAAAAACGAAATGGAATTTTCTGATGGGTTAAGCGTTAGTTATTGTTTTAAATTTTACTATAAGCGATTCAGTGTTTCACATATTTTAAAGATAACATCAGTGATAATGTCTGAGTTATAGCTCTATTTGAACAAAAAAATAGTTTAATGCGCACATTTGAATATTTCATTATTTTATATTAGCAGTGTCAGATAAATTCAATAAAGAACATGACGTGGTATCACGTGTGGTCCACGTCACCCAATTTATACTTTTATAGCTGTCGGATACCACGCACCTATTTTTTTCTTTCAATTTCTACTATTAGTTCACACTTTTCCCATATATATTTATATATCTTGTTCAATCGTGAATAAAATACTTTTTATTCATCAGCTCAAGTTTAAATACTTTTTTTTTAAACTTCTAATAGATAACACTTGATGTTAATACAGTTTTTCAAATATTAATTCATTTATTCAATTCAATTAATTAATTTTAGTTTTATATGGGAGAAAAAGTAACTTTAATAAAAAGTAACTTAGATAAAAAAAAATTCTTTGTTGACCTAAGTATAGGAATTGACTTTAAAAAATATTTTTATATTACTTGTTTCATTCTGTTTAATCATGATTTATGTACATAAAGCTTAGCAGTTTGTTGAACTGTCAATGTACACATGTAGGGAAAAAATTTTAAACATGTCTGTAAATGTAAATTTTTTTTTTTTTTTTGCAAAATAATTTCGCACCCTTTTTTTATTTATTTTTTCATGATGTAAGTTGATAGTTATTTTCATACATTTTATTCTTTTCCCACTTTTATGAATGATACAAGGATGTTGGCAGGGCCACCGTCTTAATGGTATGCAGGACCCCCCCCCCCCGGGGCNCCCCCCCCCCCCGGGGCACAAAAATGTTTTAGACCCCTATAACATGGCGTAATGTTTAGAAATAGAACTAAAAAACTTCACGCACATAAAGTAAATCATTTTTAAGATATGATGCAATAATTTTATCAAATTTTAACGCATTTTAATTACCCCCAAAATTTCAAATTGAGCATTTTTAAACTGTATGCATAATTTTTTTTTTTAATTGAATAATATAATATTTTTCAAATAATAAAATAATTTTCAAAACCATGCAAGTTAATAAAAATAATTAAATTAAATAAACATAAAGGCATAACAAATCAAAAAAAAATAAAAAATTCAAAAGGTATGAATTATTTTATCAAACTAAACAGTTAATAAAACATTTCTTTTAACGACCAAGTACCTAAAATTTTCCGGAGTACCAATAATTTTCATCGCCATGTAGAAGAATAGATTTCGGTTGACTTTTTAGGTTTTCTGGGTGATAAACTATTCAAATTATTGGTGTTTGCATGACAATCAATCACTATTTGTAAGGGGGGAAATGCATACTTTATACAATAGAATATATTTATTTTACAAAATACATAAGGCGATGTTGTTTATTCTTAGTTTTTTTAAAATGTAATTTATAAAAAGTAAGATTCTCTAGGGCTCTCTGAGAGTACCTGGACACTGCCCGGATGTGCCCATGCGTAAAGACGGTACTGGATGTTAAAGTAATAACTTTCCTTATCAAAGCTTTAAAATGCAGTCTAATAAAGAACGAAAGTTTAATCGGATTATGTTGAGAGGGTCCCCCAAACGTGTTGTGATCTGGCCTAACTGCATGCTCTTTTAACGTAAGAAAAAACATACCCCATCCTACTTAAATCTGCCTGTTTTGGCGACTAAAAAAGGCGAAAATCAGCTTCCTCGTCCCACGCATGCTTAACCTGGGAATGCTTGCTTTCTAAACATTCCCTCCTCTTTCGTTCTTTTTCTGAAACACAAGCGTTTTTGTTCTAAAAAATATTCTTTAATTTCTTTTAATAAAGGATGAAAATTGTTATTTAAGCTGAAAAAAACATTTTTCCTAGAAAAAGAAATAATAAGTAGTGCAAATAAATAATTATTAAGTATCAGGCAGACGATATTAATATATAAACTTTTTTGACTTTTAATAAAATGTTCTAAATATGGAACATAGTATCGAACATACTTACCGCTTCAAAAATTCGCAAAATTCCTTCTCTTGATCTCAAATAATCTAAATCCAGAGACATTTTTAATGATTTACTCTCGAGGGTTTCAACCTGTGCTCTTACTTTACCGCTCCTTGAAAAAGTAAAACAATCCACACACGCATTTGGCGTTATTTGGCCTCTTTAGTAAACTTGTAAATATTCGCCAAACAACTATTTATCTCGTAACTGTTATTATTAGACTTATGTTCGGAATTCTATTTAGGAAAATGACTCTAATAGTTTGTTAGATTAGCGATTTTAATTATTTATTTGAGGATAGAATAAACTATTTAGAAATCGCTTATTTTTGTACTTGAGATAAAAAGAAAAATATTTTTTTTTCAACTTGTTTTCGTTTAAGCTTTCAGGGATAAAAATGAAATTGCGAGAGTAATCAGCAAAAAGAAAAAAAAATTCTTTAAACATTATTAACAATGTGATCGTTTTTTTTTTTTTTTATCGCTTAGTAAGTTCCAACTATCAAGCACAGTTATCACTGTCATAATTCGAAAACTGTTTTGAAAAAAATGAAATTTTGCATCTTTATTGCATTGTTAAAGAACATATTTCATTTGATGCAGTCTCTAAATTTTGAGACAATTTATGTCTAAGGAGATTTTTTGTTTATTGAGAACTATTAGCAAAAAGAATTATGATTTGTTTTTTCGTAATTTTTATTTTTTTTCACTTTTTTAAACTGTTATTATTAGACTTATGTGCGGAAATCTACTTTGGAAAAAGACTTGATAGTTTGTTAAAGCAGTGATTTCAATTATTTATTTGTGGAAGGAATAAGCTGTTTAGAAATAGCTTTGGATTAAAAAATATTCAGCTTGTTTATGTTTAAGCTTCAGGGATAAAAATAAAATTGTGAGAGTTATCAGAAAAAAAAATTTTTTTTTTCCTTAAACGTTAATAACATTCGATCTTTTTATTTTATCACTTAGTAAGTCCCAACTATCAAGCATAGTTATCACAATCATAATTCAAAAGCTGTTGTGAAAAGAAAAAAAAAATTACATCTTTTTTGCAGTGTTAAAGAACAAATTGATGCAGTTTCAAAATTTTGAGACACTTTATGTCTAGGGAGATTTTTTATTTTATTGCATGGCGTAATTTAGTTTATTGAGAACTATTAGCAAAAGGAATTATGATTTATTTTTTTATTTTTTTTAGTTTACTCAAAATTCAGTTATTTTTTTTAAAATACACGCTTTTAATTGTACCCAAATGTTATTTTATTACTATTTTCAATGATATCCTGCGTTAGGACTTCATTAAAGCTTTGAGGCACTGAATTTCTTTACTAATTTCTTTCTTTACTATTTTTTTATCTTGCATTACCATTTAATTAATTAAATATTAAGGAATTTGTAAAAATCCATATTAATGGATTTTTACAAACTAATCACCAAAAGCCGTGGTGTCTCAGAGGATAGAGCACTCGCCTCCCAATGAGGTGAACCGGGTTCGAATCCCGGCAACGGCTGGTTGATTCGAATTTCGAACCCGACTCGCACCGACATGATGTAAAATATTCTCAGTAGTAGACGGATCATGGGTTAGTGTCCCCTTGCCGTCAGGTTAATCATGGAAGGTTTTCATGGTTTTCTTCTCCATGTAACGCAAATGTGGTTAGTTCAATCAAAAAGTCCTCCACGAAGGCAAATTTCTCCTGATACTTGATCCAGGAGCTCCATTGTCTTCCAGATTGGGTTTAAAATTACAAGACTACGGAGATGAACATTAATAGTCGTAAACCCCAAAAAATTGGGTCGTCTGTTCAATGACGATTATAATATAAAATAATTCTTTATGGCGGTCAATAAATTGCGCAAAATTTTCGGTTCTGTTCAAAGTAATCAAATCAAACCGAATAATGCCTCTCGGTCATTTATTTAGATTATTGACAACCTCATGAAGCAGTTCAACCTCATAAACGAGCCCAAGAGACATTGTTGAAGACTTCCACTGCTTCATGATAGATGTAAAAAATTCGAAACGACCAATTGGAAAATCACCTTAGAATAAACACTTATTATTCAATTAATTAAAAAAGAAACTATAAACGCGATCAAAAACATCCTAAGTGTAATAGAAACTACAAATGTTGAATTTTTACCCAAATAATAGAATGAAACATTTCTGATTTTATCGAGTTATGTTTAAAATCATACTATTTAAAGTTTATAAATTCTTTTCCGTGTTGCGGTTGTTTTTTGTAACAATCAATGACGGTTTTTAAATAAGATAAAACTTGAAATGATCCTAAAAACGTATAACCCATTCATTTACCTGACATATCTAAATACGTCATTAAAATCTAGCTATAGCTTGTCTAAAATAAGAACTCCCCTAGCCATCCGTCTGGACCTGTGGCGGTGACTATGGTAACAAGGTATAACTCTTGGTTAGCTGGGGTCACCGGGAGAAAGGTAATATTTCTCTTTGGTCTATTGTGTTAGCCCTAGATTGAAGAGAAGCTACCCTCCCTGAAATGCGCTATTCTTGTTTCCTTAGCAGAAGACGGCCTCAGACGTTGAGGAGGGGGGAGTTCCTACCGTAGACAAACTATACGCCTCTGCATCCTGTGAAGAAAACACTTTTTTGCTGACATTGAAAAAAATTTCCCGCAGTGGATTTATCGTAAAAAGACACGGTTCCCAGTAGAACACCAATCTCAAGCATCACTGGTTGCGATCAGTAAGCGGATGGATGACCACTTTGTTCAGCCTAGAAAGGGTCCAAGGGTGCGCGGTATCGGTCTTCGTTAAACTGTTCTACCCTAAAGTGCTCGACTCGCTCAGGTCGTCGGGCTACCCAATTCAAAATTCTTGATGGTCCCATCAAAAACATTTTGATGGTTTATGTTGGTTTCAGTGCGATTCATGATGGCCCATCATCATTTGATGGTCACCATCATCCAACATTTTCCATTATGGGTTTATGACTTTGATATACCAACAAACTTCCATCATTCGATGATTGAAAATGCTACCTTAATACTATGGAAGCTAACAATCAATAGAAGTTTGACTCTCATGGACCAACAGTCCATGATGGTTCCAACTAAACATTTCCATGATGGTAAAATGAGAATTCTTGTTTGGTTCTCAGAAATATACCATCAAAATAGTTGTTTTATGTTGGACCATCATAAATCAGTCCGAATTCCTACTTTAGGATGATGGTTGTTCATGATCGTTCCAACATTTGATTTCTATGATACTATGATGGAAATTCGTGATGGTTTAACATGAACGAACCATCAAAACGAGTTTCTATTCTTATGTTGTTCTATTCTTATGGACCATCATAAATCAGTCCGAATTCCTATATCGAGGTGATGGTTACTTATGTTGGTTACCATTAGAAAATATGGTGGTTCATAATGGAAGTATTGATAGCTACCATCAAGATTATGTTGGTCAATCAATGGAAAACCATCGAAAATTTTGACTTGGGTACCAAAGCAGGCGAGCCATCCCCTCCGCAGAGGATGAAAATTCAGATGACAGGCCTTCGGATTATCCTCAGGGATGTTACCGTCCCCAATAGCCCATTTCGCAGCTCTTGTGCTACGAAAATGAAGTATCTAAAGAGGAAACATTTTTTTTTTTTCATTTGCTAACATAGAAAAACTATTAAATTTTAGTTATAGAAATGCATATTCACTTATCTTCTGTTTCCGGAATCAGCAGATCAGCAACAAAAAGTGAGGCTGAAGAGGCACAATGATATCTCATATGGTACGACTGTTTTATAAACATTCATCAGTCCATACCGAATGAGATTACATCGACTCCTCTCTCCTTTCACAACTCTGAAAATAAAATAAAAATGAATTTATATGAGTAAATAAAATGAATACGAAATAAAGTGAATTTATATGAGTCGTAGGAAAAACAAAAGTTAATAGAAAGATACTGGTAGTAAAAAAAAAATAGTAATACGGTGTGTTAAGAAATGATGAGACCACTAACATTTTTGGGGCCGGGTAACCTAGTTGGCCCTCTACGTTCGTGAGAATGGGAGTTCGAATCCAGCCGGCCGAAGACTCCCCGTGTAGTAAATGGTGATTGGTTACTGGTTTCACGTTAAATCTGTGTGGTCACAAAGTCCTCCATGTTCCCATAACAAATTATGGCTTTGGGGGTACTGAATTGGAGATGGATCATTTTCTGGTTCAGGCCACAATTACTATCTGTGAATGAATGAGTCTATGTATGTTTCCACTCTATATACGGGTGTGATGTATGGGTGTGGCAGAAGTCGAATTTTTGGCCCTAGATGGCGCCATTGGGAAACAAGAACAATCGCAACCCTCGCCTTAATGGCCTTTTGATAAAGGGAACATCAAAATCAAATTTTAAGCGTATCTGAAATGGATTGTCAAACACTTTCTGTACTAATTTCAAAAAAATTAAAATTTTAAGATTTAGTTAATTTAACACAGCTTTCCAAAAATTGGATAAGAAAATACAAGATTACAATACAAAAATTAGAACATTATGTAATACTTCGTGATCATTATACGGGTATGCACTTGTTTAATGAGAGAGCATTGCCAAATAGGTTTTGATTGCCTTGGTCACGATTTATTTTGATGCGAGATTTTTTTTTCTCCAGTAAATGCGAAGGAACAGATTGTATAATGTAGAGTTTTAAACCAGCAATTAACAATGCTATTAGTGGAAGTAATCTTTCAAATACAATGCCTTAAGGACAGTAATTAATAATTAATTACGTAAGAACTTTAATATTGTTTATGAAAATGTTACGATTTTAATAGGAAAAAAAAATTTCTCTTTAAAGAAAGAATAAGCCTCTCGGGTGTAGTTTTTTTTTTAACGTGATATAAAGAAAAGGTACTGAATGTGTTACACTAGGGCAGGGATGGCGAACCAATGGCACTCCACCGATCACAATTGTTGTTACACTATGAATTGTTATTACACAAATCTTATTACGCTATGAAGTATGTGTAACAATTAAATTAAAATTCACAAAAAACAAACAAAATAATAAACAATTATAAATAAAAAAAATTAAAAATTACTGCTAAAAAAAACAATTAATAACCACAAAAAGCAAGCTAACAATAAATAACTAGTAAAAAAATCAACAGTCCTGCTTAAACTAACATCTAACAATAAGTTATTGGTCATCTAATCTG